CTTTACACAATTGATGTATGTATGGATTGTGATAAGAGTTGTATAAGCCCCTAATAAAATGATTTAAAAAATATAAGGGGGGGAGTGCCATTAATATCATATGCAAGTACAATTTTGCTGAAGACCATCCAACAACAGTTGCAGCAGACATGATACTGCTGCCAGACGTTTGGGCTGAATTCATAAGAGGACATGGAACCAGGGATATCATTGCTGACGTCAGATGGATCTTGGCTGAGAGCAAAGAATACCAGAAAGATGTTCACTTGTGTTTTATTGACTATGCAAAGGTATTCGACTGTCTGGATCATAACAAACTATGGATAACCTTGAGAAGGATAGGAATTCCAGAACACTTCATTGTGCTCAGGGAGAACTTGTACATGGATCAAAAGGCAGTTGTGCAAACAGTAAACTGTCTTGTTAAAAATCAGGAGAGGTTTTGTGAGGGTTGTATTCTCTCACCATGCTATTCGGTCTGTATGCTGAGCAAATCACCAGAGAAGCTGGATTCCATGCACAAGAATGCGACATCGGGATTGGAGGAAAGCTTATCAGCCTGCTATATACAGGTGACACAAGCTTGCAGGTTGGGGGCCACCCAGCCCTAGGTCAGATTTAAGTCCGCTCTTCAGAGGTCACTTGTGCAGAATGGGCACATGCTTGGGGTTTAACTGCCATCTTTTGCAGGATTTCCAGGAACCCTGGTGGTACCAGGGTTAAAACGCTGGATGGCTAACTGAAAGGTTCGCAGTTCAACCCCAATAGCTGCGTCCGTAAAGATTGACAGCATTGAAGAAAGCGTGGAGCTGTGTGTTCCTCTGCCCTATGGGGTCCCGGTAAATTGGATTGGACCCCCCAGCAGTGGCTTCGGTGTTTATGGTCATTGTTCACCCTCGGTGGCAGATTGCTTCCTCGTGTGGCGCACAAGATGCTCAGTTCACGCACGGACAGAGCAAACCCAGTATTTCAGCAGCAGGAAACAGAGCTTGGATTCCGGAGAACTGTGCCAAACAAAACCAAACCCCAGCTACTTGCTTTACAGAAAATGTTAGGTGGTCTGTTTAATGTCATTACCGTGGCTACGTTCATCACAGCACAGAGATGTTTATGGAGTTCTAAACAATCCCTCAGTGATAACAAAATGATAGTTTGCCAGTTCCAGTGAATTTGGCACAGATCTGAAACGAAAGGAAAACCATTTTTATTTTGTTTATTGGTGATGTAAATAAATAAAGTTTGAAAACAGGTCAATTTCATGCATGCAGGGTTTTATAGTGGGGGAAAATGCATTGCACCTGTACTGACCCTTTACATTTGAGGTGATTTGTTTTCAAACTTGAAATCAAGCACTGCTTTCAGACAACTCTATAATTAATTTGTTAGGTAAAGCGTATGGATATTGTGTTAGCTTTGGTTCCTGGGACTGTGGCGAAGGAGTAACTGAAATTACTAGCCTAATGTCCATAGCAGTTAATTAAAGAAACGCATTAACCATCGGAAAATGCCGCCACTGTTGTTGTCTTGTATCAGTATAAAAAGGCAGTCATTTTTTTGACAGCCACTGATTGGAAAGTTGCTTGCAGCCTTCCAGAAGCAAGGGGGTACATGCTGTGGATCAATAACCGGCAAATTTCCCATTAAGAAGAATACCTGAGCAATGTTCCAAATAGCCACCGGCATCTTAATTTTCCATGGCAAGCTCAAATACTTGTGTGCTGAGGACAAGTCATTTTCGGACAATTTTTCCAGACTACTTGTTAACAGTTATTGCTGTCCCACAAGGTTGACAGCCGCATGATTGATATTTCACTTACTTGTCAGCGCCATGTGAGTAATGGCAAGGGCTGTATTTCTGTGGTTTCAAGGAACAGGGCCCCCTGAAAGACATTTGCCTCCGTGTGTGTTTCTGAAAGCAGACCGCACATGTTTATGCTGCATGCATGTATCAGTGTGTAGGTCCATGAGAGGAGAGGGCTGGCTCCCTTTCCTGTATGCAAGCCTTTGGGGAGCAGGGTGCACTTGTATCACTCTGTAGCTGTGTAATGCCCACTTCTGTTTCAGTCATTGTTAGGACAAAGTATCTCAACTTGTTAACTTGTGATCCCTAAGATGATGCAAAATGTGACAGTTAACCTTTAAAGATAACTTCATCTTTGATAATTGTACAGCAAAGCTATAGGAAGCACACACACACATATGACATGCCTACCCGTGGTTTAAATGTGGGTATGGCAAGGACCGAAGGGATGTTGTCCTCCATGATCGCCAACCCAAGCACAAAACCAGCCGTCTCCATCATCAGTATTTTCCCACCGGGAACATCATTTTGTGATGTTTGTCAAGGGTTAAAAGAGGTGGAGTACAGGAGCATTATCCTCAAGTTAGGTGGACAGATGCTCCAATTAGCACATGGAGGAACAAGGGACTTGAACTCTAATACAACCTACTGAATGTTTTATATTTTGAAGGAACTTATTTCACTTGGATATTTATTTTGGAGGATTCAACTTTGACAGTGAAATTTGGCCTCTACTAAAGTGTTTATGAGACTAAAGCATAAAAAGTATGTTTTACTTTGATTTGCTTAAGGCTAGCTTTTTATCCTACCAATCCTATACTCATTGGATGACTCATCTCGAGTTTGCTAATTCAGCCATCTCTCTGATTTAGCTGCCTGTGACCTATGTATTTTATATATGAATTGTATTTGATTAACTAACTGGTATGTAGATCCAAGCCAAAGGTAAAATGCCTTCATTTTGCTTAGTAAAATCCAGGAGGAAAGAATAAGAGGCAATTTGGAAAAAAGGAGAAAAAAATTCCACTAAAATACATTCTGTGTCATTGTAAATACCTATCATTTTCAAATACGCGTAGGGATCAGGCGCTAATCTGAAGTCTTAATCAACACTTTTCCTATTAAAGATAAATGTCTGTCTGGGGCACTACATCTTACTGGACTTTCAATCCTGAGTAGCCCCAATAGACATTTTGATGTGCAAATAGAGCAGAAGTATTCTCAAGGCTGATATGTGTATACCAGCAATTTTAAAAAGTACTATGAATTAAACAACCCATAAGTGTCTGTTCCAGTATTCATACATTACTGAGTAATCTCTTTCTGTAATCTCTTTGCAGTATTATTCCACAGTAATGGAGCAGCAAGTAAATGGACAGTTAATAGAGCCTCTGCAGATATTTCCAAGAGGTAATGTTGAACAAATTCTAATCAACAATGATTATTTCAGCACACTGTTTCATCAACAGTTATGTTTTCCAAAGGTTTAAATGCACATAACATGATGTTTAGCTCTTAATTTGCAAAAACAAAATAAGTATTCATTATCGTGGGGATTGCAGGCTGTATTATAGTTATGGCAGATAAAATATCTAATTTACTAAAGTAAATTAAACTAACTAGATTGTTGTTGTTTTTTTGGGTTGTTTTGGGTTTTTTTGTTTTGTTTTGTTTTTGAAGTACATTCTTACATTCCCTTCAAGAGCTCTTTTTGGGGGTCCACATGGTTTTAAAACTCAAGGCAAAAGGAGTACCTGCACTTTTAGAGATTTATAAGTTGTGGCTCAGGAGGGCAGTCTGGGTTGCTATCGAGGAGAAAGTCAGCTGGGAAGAAGGTAGATTTACAGAGGAGTTTTGGGAAAGAGAGTTTTGGTAGAATGTTTGGCACTTGGTATTTGCCAGTGGCATCTTTAAAAAAAAAAGAAAAAATCTCCAATGACAATTTGATTTAGTATCCAAAAAATTTCAGGCAATAGAATGAATTTTGGTGAATCACTTATTCAAATAACTCCCTGTTAAGTATTAGCCTTTGTCCAGTATGGCGGTTTAATTGTGTATAGACGTGCGTGCCCTCACAGTTTGAATAACTGAAAAAGAACAGTTTAACTATATAAAGCCATTACATTTTCATCCGCTACCCATTGCCCCACTTGGAATCCATGGGTTTTTTTTAATTGATGGAACAGATAAGGAAATTCTCCAAATAACTCTTCTTGAAATGACTTAATTAAAATAATTCAAAGTTAAACTTATCTTCCTTAACTGATACTGTCCAAATAATCATCATGTGAGTTTTCCAATTAAACATTCTAGACTTTTATTACCTGTACCTCCCCTCTGAAGTTTGAAAGGCTCAATTAACCAGTAGGCACTTAGTTGTACTGATAAAGTCTCCAAAGGCCAGTTCATGAGATCTGGATTCTAGAGTAAAGCAACACTACTCGCGTTTGCTTTGGTGGTAAGATTGCCATGCTTATTACATTATTAATAAATTACTAACTAAAGAGCTTAGCAAATAATTTTTTAAAAGCCATTTACAGGTAATTGACAGTGTTTCTGAAACAGAGATTATGATTCATTCAGTTCCCTTGTACCTGAAGATTAAACACTGAAAAAGAACAAGGAATACAGGGGCGCTTTTTCCCAGCGACTTTTTGCCGCCCCCTGTATTGTCATTTCTGTGGATTAGGCCAAATTAAGGTTGTGGGTTGCTTTTTAATGTTCTGGAGCATCTTTTCAGGTTTCAAAATTGTTTCCCAGTAGGAAATAATCTTTTTAAAAACCAGCTGAAAACCCCTCTCATTACTTCCCTCCTTGCAGATACTCTGGTGGCCTAATGGGTTACTCATTGGGCTGCTAACTGAGAGGTCCCTGGTTTGAAATCACCAGCTGCTCTTTGGGAGAAGGATAAGGCTTTCTGGCTTACAGCCTTGGAAACCCACAGGGCCCTGTAGACTCGCCGTGAGTCGAAGTCAGCTTGCTGCCGTGAGTGAGCAAGACATTCTGGCTTTGTTGGAAGTGACCCTAGAACAGCGTCGGGGGAATCGTGGTTCCAGTGCTGTGGGCTTCCTTTTCAATAAAGTGTTTACTTCTCTCCATCCAGAATATTTTCAAATTCTGTTTGTTTTGTTTCCTTTGGAAAACATTTCATTCTCTCTATCCATACCATTGTGTTCCCTCCTTTGGTGATAACAGCCAGTTTTAGGCCTCTCCTCTGTTCAGGCCCCAATATTGCTTTAGACCAGTGGTTCTCAAACTTTCGAATCCTGCGACCCTTTAATACAGTTCCTCATGTTGTGGTGACCCCCAACCAAAAATTATTTTTGTTGATACCTGTGAAAGGGTCGTTCGATTCCCAAAGGGGTCGCAACCACAGGTTGAGAACCGCCGCTTTAGACAGCATCATTTCAAATTGGTCATCAACAATTTAGCCTGGCAGGTATTATTACTTCCATTTTATTTTATTTTGCTTTTTTCCTTCTTTTCCATTTTTAAGGTGAGAATGTTGTCATTTTAAAGATGAGGATATTAAAATTCAGTGAGGTTAAGTAACTTCAGGGTTGCACCACTTCTTAGTGCTTAATACCTGCTTTGCATGAGAATTTTGTTTAAATTATAACTTGCTTAAAGCAGAAGGACGGGAAGTTAAACTTGTACTAGAGTGTGCATGGTGGGAGTCTGTAGGACTTGGTAGGTGTGAAAGAAGAGTACATGGTGGGGAGGAGATAAAAGGAGACAGGATATGAGAGTCTCTTAGTCTCAGCACAGAACCTGTTCACCTCATCTTGCTGCCATTGAGCCATTCCAACTCATAGCGACCCTATAGGACCGGGTAGAACTGCTCCCGTGGGCTTCTGAAGCTATAAATCTTCACAGGAGCAGAAAGCCTTATCTTTCTACCTTGGAGCAGCTGATGGGTTGGAACTGCTGACCTTGTGGCTAGCAGCCCAACTTGTAAACCCATCATGCCAACAGGGCTCTTCCAGAGCCCACTCTTGAAACCAAGCTGAATAGTATCGACTTGCTGCCCACTCATGGCGACCCTATAGGACAGGGTAGAACTGGAATGACCCATGTGGGTTTCTGAGACTGTAGCTCTTTGCAGAGTAGAAAGCCTCATCTTTCACCAATGGAGTAGATGGTGATTTTTGAACTGCTGACCTTGTGGATAGCAGCTTAATGCTTAACTCACCACACCACTAGAGCCCCTACCTAGAGCCTTTAAATAGGTATCTATTAAATATAGTCTTCTCAGGACATACTTACATTTCTCAAAATATGGGAGACTCAGTCTCCTTGCCTCTCTCTTTTTTAAAAAAAAGTTCTTTTTAGTCTTATAGACTGCTGCAGATCTATTTATCTGTAATAAGTACAAGTAGGTGAATTTATAAAATTTTGATATATACAGTATGGGTGTTTACCTGGCCTGCCTAGTTGCTCAAGTCCCTAGGTGGTGCAGATGGTTGGCTTGCACTCGGCTCCCATCGAAAGGTTGGAGGTTTGATCCTGCCCAGCAGCGCTGTATAGAAAAGTCCAGACGGCCTACTTCTGTAGAGATGACAGCCACGAAAGCCCTCTAGAGGTCCACTGTGCTCTGTCACACAACGTCGTCACGAGTCAGGATCAACGCAGGGGCAGTGAGCTCGGTTTTTGGTTGACCTGTCTGGTGAAAGGCCTCAGAATATGTATTGCCAAGGCCCCACGTTAAATGGTTAGATTGACTAGGTAGGAGGGATGATTCTGTTCTGACATTGTGTGTGGTACAGTTGCCTCAGCCCACTCTGTAAATAAGAAGATGGGTTAAACATTAACCTGTGTGAAAATTGACTAACTAGATTCTCTAACGTCAAGAAATATGATGTTACTGGGTGTTTGGAATGTAGCGTAGGTTGTCCAGTCACAAAGGTTTGAGAAGCCAGATGAGGAGTGAGGCAGATGGAAGAGAAGTTCATACTTGTCTCTGATCTCTTGGTTGACCAAGCCCAACCCGCTGCCCCTAAGTGGATTTCTTCTCAGAGTGACGCTGTAGGAGAGAATTACCTTGTGGGGTTTCCTAGGCTGTAAATCTTTATGGAATCAGAATACCTCATCCTTGTCCCAGAAAGCAGGGACCTTTTGGTTAGCAGTTGAATGCTGAATCACTGTGGATTCCACTAGGAATCAGGAGTCCTAGTCCTTTGGATAGCCACTCCCGTATTAAATGAAGTATCTGAATGCCCTGATTACCTCAGTGACAATACTCTGAAGTACTGCCTTAGAAAGTATTGATAGCCCCTCAAGGGCCAGGCATCAAATGCGACTGTTACTTTATTCAAAAAGTTAATTTCCATTTTAAGGAATTAAGAATTGGAGTCTTATCATAATTTATTTAATAATAGATAAAGATGCTGGATTATGGTTTAGGTATATTTTCTAAGAAAACAGCGTAATAAATGCACATTTACTGGAAACATAAAATTAAAGTAACTAATATACTTTGTAATTATGACATGCATCATCTTATTAATAAATACTCTGTTTCTTGTCAGAAAGAGAAAGAAAAAACATACATATACTTCTGAGAGAGTGAGAGAGAAAAAAAGAAAGAAGGAAATCAAATTCATTCTTCCCTAAACAATCAATCAAAATTGACGACCCCTTCGCATACAATTTGTGGGGTCCTGTAGTTCCCAAAAGGAAGCAGCCCATAACACGGGTGGGAAGCTTGTGTATTTTCAGCATTTGATGAAGAAGCGTATGCTGATTTGGAAAAGTACTAATACATAATTCAAGTTGGTGTCAAGGAATTTTTTTGGAATTGACTGGATGGGAGTTTGATTTTTGGTTTGTTTACCAGTGCTTTGTCTTTAGACCTCATTATTACCTAAATAAGATCAGATGTGAAGATATTACCTAAATAAGATCAGATGTGAAGACATAGAAGCAATGTAGTAAAATTATTTATATTTCTGTCTTTTTATAGACTGCCATGATATCATAAACTTGTCTTCAAATTTGAATATTCCATCTCTGGGTCTCTAGTAATCTCTCTGGCATAAAAAGACTTTTCTTTATCTTTCCCTCCTGACCAGTGTTTCACCCACAAAAACAAAAAAACCCAATAAGCAATAATGCTAGGTATTTTCAGTGTAGCCTAGGTGATGGCAAATACACAATATAATTGAGGGAGAGAGATTAAAGAAATTTGAGTTATGAATGGAACCTATAATCATTTTGGCTCAGTTAACTTGATTTTTATATGTTTTAAGCAGAAATTGGAATTTATATGAGGTAGTGTCAAAAAGCTCTTTGCATTTATAAATGCTCACTCCTGCAAGTTAAAAACCCTGGCTCATAATTCCCACTTTGGGTCTTGGGAGCCACTTTTCAATCATTTCTCTCTGCTAATTTTGGTGTCACCCTCATTTCTTTTTAAACGATTCATTTTGAGCAAATTTGTAAATGGCCCTGATGTGTTCCACAATTTAGTCAATTACTGTTTCAGCCTGCAAGCCTCCTGGGGAACGGAACATACATGGCCTGAAGGTACGAATTTCAATAATTGTTTCAGTAAAGTTAGATGGATTTGTAATGCTGTGTTCCACTTATTGAAATGTCAAATAAAACGGCACTTTCTCAAGCTCTGACAAGCCATCCTTTCTTTCTTTTTTTAACGGGCGGAGGAAGGGGTCCATTGGTAGCAGTTGCTCCCGATACGCATCTGGATTTGGATGCAGGGATTCAGGTTCTTTATTATTTGGAATTGCTCCATTGGTCAGTTTCCTTATGATGACCCCAGGTCCTGGTCTCTACAAAGATTTATTGGAGCCAGACTATAGGCCTCATTTCATTGATTAATTAAGCACATAAGCATATTGTGCACAGACTACCCACCTCTTATTTTGACATATGTATGCTCAGTACATATATCTATTTAATGTCTTTTCATTGTTCTGTGTATTTTAAATTCTGAATTTCTGCTTAATGCTTCCCATTTGAAAGAAAAGATGGCTATTGTAGTAGGCTCAGCCATTTTAGAATTCATTATTTGAACCGCATTTTTCAGTGACTAAGAAACATTTCTACCGTATTCTGCTTGGTTTTAGAGCTGGGAGGATATAACTTCGGGCTCATGACTAGCCCCTGGATATATTCCTAATTCAATTTTTGAGCAGTGTTGTTTTTGTATGTGTTCTACAACAGTTCATTAAAAAAAATTTTTTTTAATTTCCTTGTGTATCCTTTTCCAGCATGGCTTAACTAAATATCTGACTAATGCAGAGGAGTAGAGATTATGTAATATACAGGTTGTTCAGTTCTGTAACCTATATGATGAATAGACTTCAGCCAGGCCTGTTTAACAACAAGCTAATTAACCTTCATAGTGAGATGAGAAAATTGTGGCAAATTATAGGTTAATGAGAACGGTGTCCTCAGCACCCAAGACTGATGAAGACTCTTTCTTACTTGTAGGTGAATACCCGGGCCGGACCCTCCCAACACAGCAGCCCCGCAGTCTCGGAGTCACTGCCGAGCAGTAGGTGAGAAGGGGCAAGGCAAGGTGCCCAGGAGCACGGTTAGGTACAGAGCTGGGGCGGAGGTGTAGGAGCTGGGGGATAACACTTCTGCTCCAGGAACCACCCCCAAACAGTGTAAGTGACTTAGAAGAAATTTGACTGGTTTGATAGCCCTGGTTACATCTTGGCGCAGAACAAGGAGCTAACACACCAAGTTGCAGCGTACTGTTGTTAGGTACTGCCCAGGTGGGTCCGATTCACAGTGACCCGGTGTCCAGCAGAACGCAGCACTGCCAGTCCTGTGCCGTTTTCACAATGACAGACAAGTGGTAGAAGATGAAATCAGATATGTTAAACTGTTCATTTTAGCTGTGGACTGGTTTCGCTGTTTGGTCTCCAGATTAGGCAGAGACGGTAATGCCTTTGTGGCGCTGGTTGGTAAGATGCAGAGCGCTCACTGCTTTTCTCTGGGCCAGATTCCGGCAGTGTCATCTGCCGGCATCTTCCTGAGAAAGAGGCAAGGAAAGAATAGAGCGGTGACATTTCAATTCATCGCCTTGTGTCTTGGAGCAAGAAATTGAAGTTATGTCAAAAGAAAGCTAACTTCGACGTCCATGGAGTAGATACTCAAGACAGGGAGCCCTTTTCAAAGCGTTCCTCCCCCAAACTGGAGTCTTTCTTCAAGACCGTGATGGTTATGAAGTGAGGGGATCTCCTGATGCCGATAGAATCCCAGGTCATTCCAGTTAAACACCCCATTCTTCAGCCAGTCAGCATCCTCTAACTGTACTCGAAGATAAAACTTCAAAGGCGATTGTCCCGCGTGAATATATTTGCACTGCTGCTGCCTGAAAAGCTAACATCAAGCCGAAAATCCCTTCCATTCTGTGCTGAGGTTTTTCTGGATTTAGGGCTGGAGTCAGCTCACCCTTTATTGGATGGGATGTAGTTTGGGTTTCTGCTTTCCCTTGAATACCTTCCCTCTGCTCCATCTGACTTTGTTTACTCCCTGGATATCCACCCCGAAGTCACTTCCTCAATCGCTCTAGTATGGCCTCGTTGTATTCACCCAGCAGCACGCTCGCACACGGACTCCACTGTCTTCCAGTCATTGCGGACTCCTGGCGACCCCGTGGGACAGGGCAGAACTGCCCCTGTGGGTCACTCCGTACGGGAGCAGAAGGCCTCCCCTCTTCCCAAGGAGCAGCTAGCTGGTGCTTTTGTACTGCGGACTTATTAGCGGCCCAACATTAACCCACGGTGCCACCAGGGCTCTGTTCTCACTCAAAGAATGGGCCCTGCTAGTTCATACTTTCCAGCTTTGCTCTCCACACATGGGATCCAGGGCCCAGCAGGGTGGAGGCCCACTTGTTACATTCAACTCAGAGAAGGCAGGACATGTAATGATCACCACTATTTCCAGAAAAGTGTTATCAAGTCAGATTGACCGTGAGCCTCAAGGAACAGACAAGGACTTTCCCAGGCGGCTAAGCTCAGATTGACTTGGTGTTGTTTCTTAAAATAACAAAAAACAACAACCTGTCATGTGTATTCATTGGCTATGATACAATCTTCAGGCCGGACAGAAATTCAGACACCATCTGATCTAAAAGTTGGCAGCCTTCTGGTGTAGCCTTTTCCCTCAGGGATATTGTGAAAATGCAATCTTCCCAAAGAAGGACAGTTTGTTCTGGGAGTGACTCCTGTTATGATGGGGTGGGTGGGTGGGTGTGTGATTTGAAAAAGTCCTACAGGTTATTTTAATATTCTACTTGAAGGTGGTTATATGCTTTGCTCTGTGTTGATAATTAATCAACAGCTATGTATCGAGTGGCTCCTAGTCTTTAGGTGCACTGAAGTACTTTAGTGACGGAGGGTGTAGGAGGTCTGGTAGGGCTTGATCAAGGGCAATGAAACCAAGAAGAATTACTGTAACCCAAATGAAGGCTTAGCATGATAGTGGGACAAGAGGAAAGTAAAAGGAAATAGAGGAAAGAGCTAGGAGGCAAAGGGCATTTATAGAGGTCTAAATAAAGGCATGTGCATATGTAAATATATTTATATATGATGATGTGGAAATAGATTTATGTGCATATATTTATAAGTTTAGTATTAAGGGAACAGGTGGACATTGTGCATCCATTCAAGTATTCCCTCAGTGCAAGAACACTTTGTTCTATTAAATTGGCATTCATGATGCTCACCTTCCTGACACAATCGCTGAAGACAAAGCAGGTGCATAAGTAAATGTGGTGAAGAAAGGTGATGGAGCCCAGCTAACAAAAGATATAGCATCTAGGGTCTTAAAGACTTAAAGGTTAACAAGCGGCCATCTACCTCAGAAGCAACAAAGCCCACATGCAAGTAGCACACCAGCCTGTGAAATTGTGAGGTGCCAAAGGGATCAGTTATCAGGCATCAAAGAACAAAAAATCATATCATTGTGTACTCACCTCCCAGAAATGATCTCAGAAGACAAATGGGTGCATAAGCAAATGTGGTGAAGAAGGCTGATGGTGCCCGGCTATCAAAAGATATAGTGTCTGGGGTCTTAAAGGCTTGAAGGTGACAAGCCGCCATCTAGCTTAGAAGCAACAAAGCCCACATGGAAGAAGCACACCAGCCTGTGCGATCATGAGGTGTCAAAGGGATCAGGTATCAGGCATCAAAGAACAAAAAAATCATATCATTGTGAATGAGGGGGAGTGCGGAGTGGAGACCCAAAGCCCATCTATAGGCAACTGGGACATCTCCTTACAGAAGGGTCTGGGGAGGAGACGAGCCAGTCAGGGTGCAGTGTAGCAACGATGAAACATAAAACTTTCCTCTAGTTCCTAAATGCTTCCTCCCCATCCACTATCATGATCCCAATTCTATCTTACAAATCTGGCTAGACCAGAGGATGTAAATGGTACAGATAAGAGCTGGAAACACAGGGATCCAGGACAGATAAACCCCTCAGGACCAGTAAAGAGAGTAGAGATATCAGGAGGGTAAGGGGAAGGTGGGGGAGCAAGGGGAAACCGATCACAGTTATCTACATATAACCCCCTCCCTGGGGGATGGGCAACAGAAAAATGGGTGAAGGGAGACATCGGGCAGTGTAAGACATGGCAAAATAATAATAATTTATAAATTATCAACGATTTGTGAGGGAGGGAGGGTGAGAAAGGAAGGGGGAAAAAATGAGGATATACCAAGGGCTCCAGTAGAAAGAAAATGTTTTGAGAATGATGATGGCAACAAATGTGCTTGACACAATGGATGGATGGATGGATTGTGATAAGAGTTGTACGAGCCCCCAATAAAATGTTTTTTTTAAACATAGAAAGGAAGGCAGTTGTGGTCCTTATCTTCTGGAGCTTGCTATTTACAGGGAATGCAAATAAGTACACCTAGAGTGAGCGGTCTGCAGGCAACGAGCCGGGTGTGAAGAGAGAGAGCCCGGGGAGGCAGTAATGTGTTCAGACGGGGAGCTTAGGCAAGGGCTTGCCACACCACCAGATCCACCTCACACAGACTTAAGTGAAGGCATGGATTGAAAAAGAGCTGAGTGGGTTTGGAAGTGGCAGGTTTGGCTAGGGAGCAGGGAAGGGGGTGGTGTTGGGTAAGGGTTTAGGGAACACAGGGGAGAGAGAAGGAGGTAGAGTGGGCCAGCTCCTTTGAAGCCTTGTAGTCCCGGGGCATTTGTGCTTTCTTCCTAGCATAGTGATAAGCCATGAGTGGACTTCCCAGAGGTTGGGTCTCTGCTTTTCAAAAAACTCCCCACACTGCCATGTAGAGCATGAGGAGGAGGAGAGCCCGTCTCCTGACTCCCTCTTCTTCCCCAGTAGCCACCCAGCCTCTTCCGGATCATCCCGGCCAGCGGCCGGAAGGCACTGCTTCCCGTTCTGCTTCCATGTGACTATATCTCGGTTGGTTCTTGTCACCTGGAATTCATCGCCCTTAGTCCTTAAGAAAGGAGCCCCCGTGGTGCACTGGTGACGATGTTGGGAGGTTGGGCCATGTTTTCTTTCACTACACCCCTCCTTCACCTCTGTGACGGCCCCCTTCCTGTTTCCTTCTTCTTTTAACCCCCTCCTTCACCTTCATTCTTGCTAGCGTTGTTCATCTTTGAGGACTAACGGTATCTTTTGGAAGCCATCCCTGATTATCACCCACCCCCAGGCTACTCAAGCCTCCCCTTCTGTGAATACCCACAACTTAGCATTGTTGTACAGAGCCCTGGCTGTGAATTGATCTGCTAACCACAAGGTGAGGGGTTTGAAACCACCAGCCACTCTGTAGGATAAAGGCTTTTACTCCTATAAACAGTTACCACCTGGGAAACTCACAGGGGCAGTTCTTCTTGTCCTGTTGGGTCACTGTGGGCCGGCCTTGACTTGATGGCACTGAGAACATACTGTATTCTACTCACCTCTGCTCCTCAGTGGAACTGGGACCACATGCCGGGCTGCTAACTGCAACGTCAGCCTTCGAAACCACCAGTCCTGCTGTGGGAGAAAGATGGAGCTTGCTCCTCAAAGAGTTGCAGTCTCAGAAACCCACAGGGGCAGTTCTACTCTGCTCTATCCGAGTTGCTATGAGTCAGAATTGACCTAGTGCCAGTGAGGTTTCCATTTAAGTTTTCTGCTCCTCAACTTTTGTGTTCTTTGAGGGCAGAGATGGTAACATTTATTTTTGAATCCCCAGTTCCCAGCATGACGATGACATACAGGAAATAGTCAATGGGCTATAGAATAGATGCATAGTTCCTCTATGTCTTGTCTCGGTATTGGTTGCTCCAAATTCATTCGGGCTTTCTGATAGGACGTTATTTCTAGTCCCTTCACCTGTTCATTCTGCTTTAGATCTATTTCACTTTCTCAATGCCTGTCTTAAAGTATCATAGTTAGAGTAGGTTACAGTTGTGTCACATCTGTGGTTTTTTGGGATTTTAAAAATATGTATTTTTAAAGATCATTTTACTGGGGGCTCGTTCAGCTCTTATAACAATCCATACATCAATTGTTTCAAGCATATTT